AGTCTCCCAAGTAGCTTGGACCACAGGCACCCGCCACAACACCTAGCTATTTTTTGGTTGCAGCCATTATTGTTGTTTGGCGGGTCCAGGCTGGATTCGAACCTGTCACCTTAGGTGTATGTGGCTGGCGCCTTAGCCACTTGAGCCACAGGTGCTGAGCCGAGACTCTGTCTCTTAAAAAAAAAGAAAAAAAAATAGCTGGGCACCTGTAGTTCCAGCTACTTGGGAGGTGGAGGCAGGAGAATCATTTGAGCCCAGGAGTTTGAGGTTGCTGTGAGCTGTGATGCCATAGCACTCTACCCAGGGTGACAGTTTGAGGCTCTGTCTCAAAAATAAAATAATAATAATCTTCAAAGAGGATTTCTTTCCCAGTTTTAAATCCATATTTTTTGAATGCACTTAAAAACATGATTTAAAGTCCTATTTTACTTAGGTATTGTCACCTAGAAGAATTTCTAAGGAGCTTCATTTCCATTTGTCTTTTTCATCTCACTCTTTACATGCAGAGTAAGAGCTATTTCTTCCCAATTATCTCACAGTTTCATCTAGTCAGTTAGAGCTCATCGTGATCTCAGAGGATTTAATTTGTCAATTTTACTTAAAGACTTAGGGAGTTCATGTAAACACTGACAGTTTATATAGATAAAGCCTGTGAGATAATTGCACGTTTAAGAATGCACCAACCTGTGTTTAACTATACACCATCATTGTGAGGTGTAAAAAGCTATAAGAATCCATAGCCCTCACTTTTTTGTGTTTTATCTGCCGCACTTTCTATATCAACTCACATGTCCTATAAACATTCCTGCACTTATGTTTTTCCAAAACCCTTGAGGATGACTTGTGCTTCTCATTACCTCAATTTACAGGTTTATTTTGAGACAGAGTCTCAACCTGTACCCTGGGTAGGGTGTCATGGTGTCATAGCTCACAGCAACCTTGCAACTTGGGCTCAAGCAATCCTCTTGCCTTGGTTTTTCTATTTTTAGTAAAGACTGGGTCTCACTTTTGCTCAGACTGGTCTCAAACTCATGAGCTCAAGCAATCCACCGACCTCAGCCTCCCAGAGGGCTACGATTACAGGCATGAGCCACCATGCCAGCCTCAATTTACAGTTTCTATAACAGGAATAGGGATTGGATTATTACCCCATGTGGTTTCAAAAGAATCCCAATTAGGCTGGGCACAGTGGCTCACGCCTGTAATCCTAGCACTCTGGGAGGTCAAGGTGAGTGGATCCCCTGAGCTCAGGAGTTAGAGACCATCCTGAGCAAGAGCAAGTCCCTGTCTTAAAAAAAAAAAAATTAACCAGGCATTGTGGTGGGCACCTGTAGTCCCAGATACTTGGGAGGCTGAGGCAAGAGGATTGTTTGAGCCCAAGAATTTGAGGTTGCTGTGACCTATGACAACATGGAACTCTACCAAGGGCAATAAAGTAAGACTCTGTCTCAAAAAAAAAAAAAAAAAAAAAAAAGGGAATCTCAGTTAGCACACTGAGGTTACTCATTTTGTTTTGGCAGGTTTTTTTTTGCAATTTTTTGGCCAGGGCTGTGTTTGAACCCACCACCTCCCATATATTGGGCCAACACCCTACTCCTTGAGCCGCAGGCACTGTCCCCTCACTTTGGCTTACAGTAATTCTGATATGATTTTATGTCACAATGTATGCCTGATTAATCATAACAGGACATTCTGTAAATAGGGATACCTTGGCCTTAATGGGCATATTTTACCTGGTTAATTTGTGAGACCACAGAGGAGCAGACTGTGTTTTTATGTCAGCTCATCTGGCCACCTCACAAGCCATTTGACCTAGTCTGATAGTCAGCTCTCCACAACTCCACACTATCTCGTTCTCAAGGAATACACTGTGCTGCAAATGTGTATTTCTCTCATGTATCCTCTCTTATCTCTTCAACTATTTCTTGAACCCCCTTGGACCAAGCAGTAGCAAAAGCAAGAAAAAAAAAGAGACTTAAAAATTCTATTTTCTGAAATAAGTTGCCTAATATCTAAAAAAAAAATCTATATTAATCTCATTATATCAAATGTAACTGTTTACTAAAGCCTCCTTCCAGTTTGAGATTACAAAATGAGAGAACAGAGTTAAAAGATACTCTTTACACATCTGTTAGCTTCATTGACCCAGAGTGGTATTTTGGTTTTGTAGGGGTGCAAATAAGACTTTAAGGGACATGAACCCATCCAGCATAAACAACCAGAACCTTCAGTGCTTGGGGCTCAGGATCCTGCTTTTACATTTCACCATGCTTTAATATTCCCAATGCTTTAATGTTACTATGTGTATCTGGTGCTTTGGTATAAGAAATGCTCCATATCCCTGGAAATCTTTACTTCCATACAGTTCTGAAAAGAGATCATATGGCATGGCTGGGCTGGGCATGTGAGATGTAAGAACCAAGCCAAAAGCCAAGTCCAGGACGCACCAGGTGCACACAGACCTGTGAGGAATGGCTAGGCAGGGCCCATCTGAAACCAGTCCCAAAGATAGCAGTTCCTATAGAAAACAGTTTAACTGATCTGGGTGGGCTTAACAGAGGCAATTTTGAGATTGTAACCTGATAGGGTGGGGAGGAAGACAGAGAGAATGAACCACATGGGTGTATCCACAGAGGTCCACTGCACAGGAATATCTGGAGGCTCCACTAGGCTCTGTTCTCCACAGGACTATCTGGAGGCTTGCCACTCAGCAAACATTCAGAAAGAACAGTTTCTGTTTGGGATACGGTTTGGGTGGAACAAAACTGTAACTCCAGGGGCTCTATATTATAATTGGTGAAAGTGGATGGAAGCTGCTGTGTATTATGTGAGAACTGCTAAATAGAGCTAAATGGACAAGTGCAAGGGCTCCCACGGCTTTCTGTGCTGTCTCTTCCTCAATCACAACTCCATATTTTGAGAATGATTCTGTTAGTCTCTTTCAAAGAAACTTTTCGAAGCAACCTCTTGGGCCTTCGTTTCTGAAGTCCCTAGAGTATGAAAGGAAACTGAGTTGCTTTACTGTAAGTATTGACACTGTTCCATATTATAACATGTGTTCGGGGCCTATTCTGGTTGTTTGACTCTTATGTGATTGCAATTATTTAACCGTCACGACCACCCTGAGGTAGGTGTCAATTCTTCCTCTCATTTTACAGACGAGGAAACTGAAGCTCGGTGGGGTCAAGTCACTTGATGAGGCTCAAACATCTAGAAAGCCAGAAATGCGGATTAGAATCCAGGCATTTTCACTATGAGCCACTTACCCCCTATAGCCCTGCCACCTTCTCTGTCAGGATTTTATGATGTCTCAACTAAATGCAGTTATCCCTCTGCATCATTTGGGATTGTGGTTCCAGAACCCCCTACAGACACCAAAAATCTGCAGATGTTCAAGTCCCTGATATAAAATAGCCTTGTATTTTATATAATTTATGCATATCTTCCTGTATACTTTAAATCATCACTAGATTACTTATGATACATAATACAATGTAAATGCTGTGTAAACAGTTGTTACACTGTATTGTTTAGGGAATCATGACAAGAAAAAAAGTCTGTACATGTTCAGTACAGACAAAATTTTTAAAAAATATTTTCCATCTGAGGTTAGTAGAATCCACGGATGGGGAGCCATTGGACACAGAGGGCCCACTGTAACCAATTTCTTTTTGCCTCTTCGCTAATCTGTACCCTCCCTGAAGACAGTGACCTGGTCTCACCCCATCTGTACCTGCACAGCCCACCCCACTCCAGGCAGTGAGCTCCCCTATCAGTTCACATGGTCCCATGGAGGGACTCCATTGTGTCAACAGGGCTGACCTCACACTGGGGGCTCCAACTCAGAACCTCAACATTCTAAGGGAGCAGAGTGTCCTAGTTCCTCAGATAACATCCAGGGCAGATGCTGGGTGACAGCTAAATGTTCCCTTTCATCCATGTGATAAAAGACTGACACTTTCAGAGTGATGGACAAGATTCAAGGTTCTTTCACCTTTTTATTTTTGTTGTTAATGGAATGCTCACTTTGTTTATATGTGCGTCACGCAGGTCGGTTTCATCCAGTTGGGAGAATAACAGTTTCACCAGGTAGCTTCAACTACTGGTTTACTTATCTCAGGAAAATTAAAAAGCTGTTTCAGGGAAAATAAAAAGAAAGTAATTGCATTTTACTCCTACAAGTTTTCTTTTCAAGGCAATAAACAGCCACGAATACCCAGAAAAGACATCAACGAGCTCTTTAGTGAAACTCAATTATTTGAACATCCTTCAAGACTCACAGGTAAGTCACTGAATTACTCAGTGAAATGAGAATTATAGACTAGAGAATGATAGTCTGGTGCTCTTCTTTCTGCTATGTGAATGTGCCTGGTATATTTGTTAGTAGAAAGGTCTATAAAACATAGTATGATTAGCTGAACATTTGCTCCTAAATTAACACTTACACTCTTTAAGCTGTGTTCTCTCTTTAGGGTTTGTACTTTCTTCTCTTTTTTTTCACTTTACCTAGGACACATAGATGCCTTGATCCCTGCAGGGTTTCAGGATTCTGCATGCCTCAGAAGTATAATGTCTCAGGAAGGTGATTATGGGAGATGGACAATGTTAGTGAATAGTGACGACAGTGGCTCGGCGCCTGTGGCTCAAGTGGCTAAGGCGCCAGCCACATACACCTAAGGTGGCGGGTTCAAATCCCCAGCCCGGGCCCGCCAAACTTGATAGCTGCAACCAAAAAATGGCCAGGCGTTGTGGCGGGCGCCTGTAGTCTCAGCTACTTGGGAGGCTGAGGCAGGAGACTCGCTTGAGCCCAGGAGTTGGAGGTTGCTGTGAGCGTGATGCCATGGCACTCTACCCAGGGGGATAGCTTGAGGCTCTGTCTCAAAAAAAAAAAAAAAAAAAAAAAAAAAGAATAGTGACGACAGTGATGATGAAATTGAGGGTGAAAAGCCCAAACTGGACAAGCCATCTACTTCTTCTCTCCCCCATGCTGGCCAGGGAGCAGCAAATGAGCCAAGTCAAACCTGCTTCAAGGCCCAGAAAGCTGCACAGGAGGAAAATATCACCTGTGAAATTTGGCATCATGGCACAGATTTGAGATCACCTCCCAAAAGGTAGAAAACCAGCTCTTAGCTCGGCACCCGTAGTACAGTGGTTACTGCGCCAGGCCAACTAGACAACAATGACAGCTGCAACAAGAAATAGCTAGGCGCTGTGGCAGGTGCCTGTAGTCCCAGATCCTTGGAAGGCTGGGACAAGAGAATCACTTGAAACTAAGAGTTGGAGGTTGCTGTGAGCTGTGACGTCACAGCACTCTCCCAAGGGCAACATAGTGAGACTGTCTCAAAAAGAAAAGAAAAGAAAAGAAAAGCAGCTCCCAAGAGTAGCTGGGTTGGGTATCTCCAACAGTGACGATGAGCCACAACCAGAGACACTGCAGAAGCCAGCTGAGAAAGTGGTGGTCAAAGAGGAGGGAGAAATCTCTGCTCCAAAGGACTGCACCACCCAGATAACTGGAAGCTGGGGCCCTTCTTCCTGCCTGCTGCAGATGCAGAGAGGAGGAAGAGGAATAAAAAACGTCAGGGACAGCCCGGATACTTAGGACATGTTGGATAAGGGGAACCCTTCCAGGTTTGCCTCCATAGAGTCTCAGGAAAGCCAAAGCACAACTCCAGAGTCCTCCACATCAAGGATATTTTGTGTCCTGTATTCGGGACACTTGTTTCTTCAGCTCAGCTTGCTCCTTTGACATGGACTGGCTCACAAAGCGATGTCCAGAGAGTGCAGAAAGAAACCCAGTTGTGCTTGTGCATGACGGCAAACAAGATGCTGAGGCTCATGTGCACGCCCAGGCAGAGCTTCATGAAAACATTTCCCTCTGCCAGGCAAAGCTTCATATTGTATTTGGAACACGTGACATGAAAATGATACACCACACACTGGGTATAGTGGCTCACACCTGTAATCCCAGAGTGCTGAAGTGGGTAGATTGCCTGAGCTCAGAAGTTTGAGACCACCCTGAACAACAGTGAGACCTCCTTCTCTACTGAAGATAGAGAAACCATCCAGGTGTTGTGGTGGGTGTCTGTAGTCCCAGGTATTTGGGAGGCTGAGGCAAGATGATCACTTGAGTCCAAGAGTTTGAGATTGCTGTGAGCTATGAGGCTACAGCATGTTAGGGCAATAGAGTGAGACTCTGAGTAGGAAAAGAAAAAGGAAAGGGTCTGTGAAAACCTGTAGTTCTATAGGGGCTAGAATAGCATCTCCCGCTTGACTCAAACTGGCCAATGAGAAGGGTACCTGTCGGGTGGAACTTTTTGACTATAGTTAAAAAGGGAAAGACCAAGCTAGTTGGAGAGCATGGCCATTTGGAATTCTTCTATACTGTAAGCTCCCAGCTGTTGAATAAAGCCCTTCCTCTTATAAATAAAAAAAAAGAAAGAAAGAAAGAAAAAGGAAAAGGAAAGGGGAAAAGGGAAAATAAAAGAAAGGAAAAAAGAGAAAATGACTCTATTGTTCTACTAGGAAGATAGCCTCCAGACTATCATACACACCAGCAAACTCATCCATGCCAGAAAACTCAAGGAACACTCTGGCATCAGTAAACTCAAGGAACATGTTGAGCCCCTTATATATCCACAAATCATCCATGGGCCCCACAAATCTGAAAATCAGCAACACATTTTACATTTACATTTTTTGCTAGTTACTTGATGACTCACAATGCTCCTTGTCTCCAAAGTGGATAGATAACATCCACGAGCATGATCTCTCTGAAAGAAATGTTTACCTTATTGGTTCAACCCTAGGAGGCTTTTGAGGAAGTCAAAAAGATAACTGGGGACATTTTAGACTCAGGAAGCTTCTGGAAGGACATGCTCCCTCCATGCCTGCCATCGTCCTAGCCTTTAGTAGGTTAATTTTCAAGCATTGACTCCCTGGAAACTGATGAATCAAAATGGTTAAGTTCTGAGTTTAAAGAGAGCTTTCTGACACTAGAGGAGGAAAGCATGACTTTTGGACTCTGGGGAAAAGCACCGTTTTCTCTACCCTTCTGTGGAAATGTAAACCAGCTCAGAAGACTGCCCAGCAGTGCTGCTCTCACCTATAGCATTGAGACAGCTAAGAAACAGAATTGTTGGCATTCCTATTTTCAGAAATGGTTAGCTGAGACTTCCAGCTACAGCTAAGCCAAGCCACATATTAAGACATACATGTTGGTCACTAGGAAAGGTTTTTATTTTGAGATAGAATCTCAGTATCTCACCCTCAGTAGAGTGTCATGGCGTCACAGCTCACAGCAACCTCCAACTCTTAGGGTTAAGCGATTCTCTTGTCTCAGCCTCCCAAGTAGCTGGGACTACAGGTACCCACCACAATGCCTGGCTATATTTTGTTGCAGCTTTCATTGTTGTTTTTAGCTGGCCTGGGCTGGATTCGAACTCACCAGATGTGACTAGCACTGTAACCACTGTGCCATGGGCGCCAAGTCCACTACAAAAGTTTTGAAACAGACTGTGCTATGGTCTGTTATTTCACTTCCAGGAAACACCATTGACAGCATCCTTTCTTATTCAACTTGCTCAGATTATTAGGGTTGCTGGGAGGGCTTCATTTGCTTCCATTCACATGGATTTTATGCTTCTTAATTTTTGTGTATTTCAAAACTTTCGTAATGACCCATGTACGAGACCTTCTCCAGACTTCAGTAAAATTGCTTGGTTCCTTATCAAGGCTGCCTGGGGATGCTTTGGAGAAGAATGGGGTCAGCTGATGTTCCACTTTGATGAGCTTGGAATCCTTTTCCTCCCTTCAGCATTTGGACTAAACAGTTTCAAAGCAAAACAGAAATTCTTCTCTAGAAACCAGGAGCTGATGGTCACCTTTCCTCCAGAATGGTATGGAAGTAAAAATCACCATGAATATGGAACAGTCCTTATATAAAAGCACTAGGTACATACGAGAACATTAAAGCACTGGGAATCTTAAAGCACAGTGAAATGTAAAAGACCCTGAGCCCCAAGCACTGAAGGTTCTGGTTGGTTGTGCTGGATATTCATGTCCCTTAAAGTCTTATTTGGATCCCTACAGAACTATTTGCAAAGATTACTCTATGAACATGGGTTTGGGTTATACTTTTAATGGTCATTATTAACATTTTCAAACATTTTCAACATTTTTTTTCAAAAGAAGAAAGAAGGCTCGGCCCCTTTAGCACAGTGGTTACCCTACCAGCCACATACACCCAGACTGGTGGGTTCAAACCCGGCCAGGGCCAGCTAAACAACAATGACAACTGCAACAGAAAATAGCTGGGAATTGTGGCAGGCACCTGTAGTCCCAGCTACTGGGAGGCTGAGGCCAGAGAATCACTTAAGCTGAAGGAAGGAAGGAAGCAAGGAAGCAAGGAAGGAAGGAAGGAAGGAAGGAAGGAAACAAGCTTGCTCAATCTCATCCATCTGGATTACATGAATGTGTGTGCCTGGATGCTTTGCCAGAGAAAGACAGAAAGAAAGAAAGAAAGCTCGCTCAATCTCATCCCATCCAGATTACACGAATGTGTGTGCCTGGATGCTTTGCCAATGTGGAGCATTCTTTGTAACCATTTGTCTTCTAGGCTTTGATCTTTGAATACTAGAGGAAATTTGTTTATCTTAAAAGAACAGGCTCGGTGCCTGTGGCTCAAGTGGCTAAGGC